GTTGTTTGATGATGATGATGAATTGATTGATGAAGAAGGAAAGGAAGAGGAAGGAGAAAGGGAACGAGGAACTGGGTTTGAAGGATCCCATCGCCCGGGTTCAACAACCCCAGGCTCTGGGTCCGAGAAATGAAGAGGAAAGAGAAAGGGGACGAGGAAGGAGAAATAATTTTTAAAATTTTTATTGCCATGTCACTAGTTTTTGCCATGTTATCTTTCACGTGGAGTAAAATTTTGACATGTTATCATCTTACCATGAATTAACAGTACAGGTGGAGAGGTGTCTAACAGAAGGACCAAATCGGGGTAAAAATGGTAAACAGTATGGACCAAATCAGGGATTTTTTGAGTTCAGGGACCAAATCGAGGGTCCGTACAATAGTTGAGGGACCAAAAAGGGGTTTTAACCTTATTAAAAATAAGGAATTGTAGAACTTTCTGTTTCTGTCTTGCACCGAGACACGTACCTTAGGACGCAAAAAAAGTCTTCTGTTTCTGAAACTTGCACGTAATGAGGAATATTATCCTCCTTTTGCGGTGATCTGGTCGTCTGCTCCTTAACCCAAACTCCTTATAAATACCTAGCTGTATCTCCTTCTTCCACGAGCTTGTGGTTTGTACTTTGAAAAGATACAAGAAGATGGCAGATGCAATGACAACAGAAGCGCCCAAGGCGCCGGTGACACGCGAAAGGAAAATCAGAGCAGACTTGGAAACGAAGCTCCCAAAGCCCTGTAAGTCTAAGAAGCTATTTGGCATAGCGGTTTGAGATTAACAGTCTGTGACTTCCTCTTATCTAACAAATGATAATTGTTATTATTAATAATTCAAATATATTTTTTTTTATGTTGATCACATGACGAGAGGCGACTCTTTTTTATCCCTTATTTCACATTACATGTATGTCATACAACTCAAATTTAAAATCTTTTACTTTTAACGAAAAGAAATTAATAATTCAAATATATATTTTTTTATGTTGGTTACACAATGGGAGGTAACCCTCTTCCATCCCTTATCTCACCTCACCTGCATGTCATACAATTCAAACTCAAAATCTTTTATTTTCAACGAAAAAAAATTATCATTGAATTACTTAAGTCGTTGACAATAATTTAAATATTTTATTCGTTGAATTAAATGAAACTGTTAATCGTTAATTTTAAATTGTTATATCAAAAAAGCTCTCTAGTTATGTAACTTCCATTAAAGCCTTTGTACAAGTTCTAATTAATTATGTTCCTTCATGGTACCAGATTTGGCTAGAGCGTTGGAAGCTACGGATGCTGACCAACCGAATGGAACGCCTGGACGTAATAACAATGGAATGTCTGTTCTTCAACAACATGTAGCATTTTTTGATCAAGACAACAATGGAATCATTTACCCTTGGGAGACATATAGAGGTACGAAGAGATCATATTTTGGTTTGCTTGACATCCAAGGAAGATCATATATGGCTCAAGTAACATTTTCTTTTTAACACTTCTGAACACAGGTTTTCGTGCAATTGGTTTCAATCTGATTCTCTCTTTTCTCTTGGCAATTGGGACCCATGGACTTTTGAGTTACCGAACACAGCCTGTAAGTTATGTACTAACTTAACTATGCCCTTTAAAAGTATTTATTGGTACATATTTTAATTTAACATATTATATTATATATTTATTAAAAATTATTATTTTTTATCTCAAATTAAAAATTGTTAAACTTAAAATATGAACTTGCATATAACAAATAAGAACTCTAATTGAATTAACTGTACTTATATTATATTTTAATAATTAAACTATATAAATCTTTAAAAATATGTTAAATTAAAATATATACCAATCATTTTACTATATATATCATCTCCTTCGTGGAATTTTCCTCTACCAAGGTATACATATGTTAATCTTGAGGTGACAATTCTCAGGGTTGGTTGCCATCTCCTCTTTTCACCATTTATATTGAGAACATACACAAATCCAAGCATGGAAGTGATTCCGCAACATATGACACCGAAGGAAGGTAATCATATAATTAAATTTAGACTGTTAATTAGGTCGAAATGGATTTGAATTGTTATGAATTCTTACACCATGTAAAAATATTTAATCTAAAACTAATTGACAATATGTTCCATCGATGAGCAAATATTGCAGGTTTATGCCAGTGAACTTTGAGAACATATTCAGTAAATATGCAAAAACAGTGCCTGATAAATTAAGCTTCAAAGAGATTTGGCATATGACTGAAGCAAACCGCGTTGCAAATGATTTCGTTGGCTGGTTTGTTTTGATCTGTGTTCATTTAATAGATTTCTACATGCCACGTTTTGTTTTTGAAACTCACAAATTGCAGAATCAAATGATGAGTTCTTTGGTGATGATGCTCTGGCTTGTTTCTATTTCAGGTTTGCGGCAAAAGCAGAATGGATACTTCTATACATTCTTGCTAGAGATCATGAAGGATTTCTGTCCAAAGAAGATGCAAGACGGTGTTTTGATGGAAGCTTGTTTGATTATCATGCCAAAATGAACAAGGGTGGGGACAGCAAGAGGAGTTGAAGCTGCAACCATGATCAGCACGATAACAGGATGTAAAAGTTGACATATTACTTTGTGACTTACACATATTTTAAATGTTAATGTTGCTAATAAAATTATTTAAATATTGTTAACAAATCCTTTTTACTTTTTAATTCATTATACATTTTAATTCCTTATTTAATAATACATTAGGTTTTTGAATTTTTTTTAAAAATTAACTAAAATGACTTGTCAAAATGCGGCCGGTAGTGTATACAAAATATTCTTTTTTTTTTTTTTTAACATGGCAATTATAATGTACAAAGGGGAGGAGAGAATGGGTTCTGGCTGGGGTTTGACTACAGGATCCCAGACCATCTCACCTATCTCCCTTTCCTAGGAGAAAACATGCATATGAATAGTTAAAACCCGGAATAAGATTTAACAAGCACATTGATATTTAATGAAAACAGGAGAGATTATATCCATAAGTTACATTGCATTTTTAAAGTTTTGAAATTTATCCAGTCAAAACCCATTAAAATAACAAACCAAGCAAGCAGAAGCTAATAGTTATTGCAAAATTTCAGTCAGAGTATGATCTGAACAATGCAAAGAACAGAGTGTCACAAGCTGGAAAGCTTAAACAATGGCATTGGCAGCACTTGCAATCCTTGGCCACAAATCAGCACACTCCTTCCCAATTGGACCAGTGATGGCAGAACCTAACAGAAGTAAAGGAGGAAAATTATCAATCATAATGTGTCCATACACGCTTACATAATGTGACATTTACCATCTAGGCAAACATCAGGAATTATTATTTAATGAAACCACAAAATAAGGCATCACAGGCATTAAAAATATCATAAATTAGTTGGCAATGCCAGAAAATATTGACATGCTCTAAAAGTATTAGTACCTTTCATCTCACCCTTTGGATTTACGATAACACCTGCATTATCTGCCAAAAAAAAAAAAAGGTTCTGGGTCATGTAATTGACAGCCAACCGTGAATAAAGGCATAAACAACTTGATGAATCTCAAAGTAAGAGGATAAGCACAAAATGCAAAAACAAAAAACCTAGACTGGACTTGTGCTGAAACCATATGATCATATCTATTAGATGAAGATGTGTAGGGCCCCAATGGAGCACACGTGAGCATCCAAAGCATAAACACATCTGCAACGAAGGACCCATTCTATTTTCCAGACGTGTAACTGTATCAACCATTGCATATTGAAGTAGATACCTGACTTATGTCTGGTGGTATTACAAGTTACATACTCAATTACCAAAACCATGGAACCACACAAACTTTGAGCAACTTTCAACTCATCAAGCAAACATCTTCGAGATGGAAATGAATAACATAAAACAATTCTCAACACCACATCACCAGCAAATCATTCACCAAACCATCCTAACATCTTATAATGCTTGTAAATTACAATTAACTTGTAAACTACAATCAATGTATCTTCTTGTGAAAAGAGACCCCATTCGATGGAATATTCAACCACTTAAGATAATTTTGCTGGTTTTAGGCAGTGGCACATGGGAATTCACAAATCAGGACGCCCCCTCTCCAGCAACCCGACTTCTAAAGTTATCTATATTCACAGATTATGGTTAATTTCGCACGTAATCAGAAGCTAACTCAGCCCAAGTAATAAAATCTATTAATTTATCAGAAATCAGAGTAACCCAAAGATCAGATAAGATTAAATCGAAACAGAATAAAGAATTATAACCATCACGAACAATAAAATCAAACTTAAACAAAATCCAAATGAAGCAAACCTTCGAAGTACATGTAAACGCCATCCTTTCTGCGCCAGGGCTTGCGCTGCCTCACAATGACAGCAGGCAACACCTTCTTCCTAAGATCCGGCTTCCCCTTCTTCACGGTGGCCATCACCATATCCCCAACACAAGCTGACGGCAACCGGTTCAGACGACCCTTGATCCCCTTCACGGAGATGATGTACAGGTTCTTCGCACCTGTGTTGTCGGCGCAGTTCACCGTAGCCGCCACTGGCAGACCCAGCGACATCCTAAACTTGTTACCCGCCGATCCTCCGCGTCCTAACAAATGTAAAGCAATGAACTTTCAGTTCCAATTTTTGAAACTTTGCTACAGAAAATGGAATTCAGACTAGAGAGAGATTCACTAACCTCGCTTCGACATTTTCGACTGCAGAAGGGGAATACAGAGTGAAGCTAGGGTTTTGGAGCTTTTATATAGATGGAGGCTAATTAGGGTTTCTTCGTGTCTTTTGGGCTAATACCGGATCGGGTCATGTAGGCCCAATTCTATTAGGCTTTCTTAAATGTTGTTTCAACAAACAAAGGAAAATTGATTCAATAGCAATTTTAACCTTTTTTTGTTTTGGTTAAATCCCCATTTTGGTCCCTGAACTATTATATGGACCCCTGATTTGGTCCCTAAACTAAAGAAATCCCTGATTTAGTCCTTAAACTATTGTACGGACCCCCAATTTGATCCCACTGTTTATAATTTGGCCTAAGTTGGTCTTGAATTATTGTACGGACCCCCAATTTGATCCTTACTATTTACAATTTCATCCCAATTTGGTCCCAATTTGGTCCCTGAGCTATTATTTACGAGAAAGACCAAGTTGGGGTTAAATTGGTAAACATTAAGAACTAAATTGGGCATCCGTATAATAGTTTAGGGACTAACTTAGGAGTCCATACAATAGTTTAGAGACTAACTTAGGAGTCCGTACAATAGTTTAGGGACCAACTCAGAGGTCCGTACAATAATTCAAGGAGTAAATTAGAGATTTCTTTAGTTTAGGGACCAAATCAGGGGTCCATACAATAATTCAGGGACCAAAATAGAGGTTTAACCTTTTTTTTTAATTAGGGGTTAGTATCTTCAAAATTCAATAGTTAACTTTAAAGTTTCATTTATATAGATTATATATGTTTTTTT